TGTTAGGGAATTAAATTAACGGGGTGACAGACAACGCAGGCTGGAGAAGGAAGCGTACTTCCCCAGTGAGCATTAGCATGTCATGGCTGCTATGTGTGACGTTCATCGTGTCCTTTGATAAACGTCTATGTTTACCAATCTCGCCACTATTTGTAGCGCTATGTCCCTGACAGAAATCTGCAAGACACTTTGCATGCGCCATCGAGAGGCGGTGTCTGGCCGGGACAGCGGACAGAGACATGTGACTAGGCGCTGGGAGCTGGAACGGGATCTTTATTTGGCTAAACAGGGCCCTTTTCAGAAAATATGGGGTTGAGCAGGGATGGGACGAATGAAGAGCAGAAAACAAAACAAAACAAACTTCAGCTCTGGGCAGGGACTGTAAAGTAAACCAAGCGGACGAGTGAGAACAGGGAGACCCTAGCCGGCTCAGATGTGTGGAGCAGAGGCTGTCCAGGATGAAGCATCTTCGAGGTTACTAAGGGCCCAAAGAAAACAAGGGGTAGTAATTAGCATGCAGACCATCGTCTCGCGACTTTCTCTCCTAAGACTGCAATGCCCCAGACGGGAACTCTGACGGTCTACTTTACTTACACCTTCATTCTTGCTAAATACAAAATAATATTACACAATACAAAGTACAACTCATATAAAACAATGCCCAGATTTTTTTAAATCGCCTTATTAAGTTTTAAGCGACATTCTGTGGTTGTAGATTTGAACATGATTTAACCATAAAAAGATAAGTTGGTCAGTTGAACCCTATATCATCTTTACAAAGTGTGTGTGTGTGTGTGTATGTGTATATATTAGGGGGTCATACATATATTACCTTGTGGGGAACAAATGTCCCCATAATGTGATAAAAACCTGTTATTTTGGCATTGTGGGGACCGGGTCAATGTGTGTGTGTGTGTGTGTGTGTGTGTGTGTGTGTGTGTCAGCCAGTGACAACCTGGCATCCTACCTTGACAGCACAGACCTGAGATCACCGTGACCTTGTCTGAATAACTGATACATGGATAGATTATTACCACTTGGCCGGAGTCCAGAAGCACCTTAAAAACTCAAAAGATCAGCTCGTCAAAGATGCCACCTCTGCACTTTCTGTATATCTTTCCCTTTGCTTCTGACAAACTTTACAGTAGAAACATCCATCCATTTATCAATCACACGGTCATTTGCTCAATTTTGGTCACCTGTATGAGATACCAGCCCATGATGGGGAAGATACAAAGTCATATTAATTTAACACCTATTAAAATGTCACCTCCGATTTTACTGGAAACAGATGTTGCTACAGGGCCATCATACTACAGTGTAAAGGACTGAGCTTATGGCATGAAGGACATATTGATTAAATCTGGCCCCAGAATACAAATGATAACAGTGTTTTACAAGATTAATAATTACCACAACCAATACATTAATTCAGAGAGAATTTATTACTGAAGACTCAAAACTGAAACTGAGAGCAAATCAATTCATGCCTATCCATAATGATGGCTGAATCAGACCAGAGAGAAGTGGAGATGCGTGTCACCAGAAATATGCAAGAGTTGCAGAATGAGAGACCGGAACCTTCGTCCTTCCTCCATCTCTTCTACTATGGTGTCGCCCGTCTCTCTAAACTCAGCGGACTCTAAATGAATGCTTTGCAAAACATATAAAGTGAGATTATTTGTAAGAAGTCCAGGATGTGTTTAACTGATCTTTTTTAAATCAAGTAATAGTTTTATATCATATTTAACCAAATTGATTTTTTGCAGTCTATTCAGATATACGAGTAGAAGGAACAGACCCTTGGCACTGACAAGTTAATGAGGTTTTATCTTGCATAAACCCCTTAAATTCATCACAACGAACTTGAAACGGTAACAAATAATGGTAAAACTCAATACTTTAGATTCACTTAAATGTCAGCACAACCACATGTAAACAAGGTCTCTTCGGTTCTTTGAAACCTAAGATCAATTATAAAAATCAATTGTTTCTGAGCTGCATTAATAATTCAGCTATAAGCAGAATATTTATAGACTATACACTTAGTGGTCACTTTAACAGGTGCCCCAATGTAATGCCAGGTTGGACCCCCTTTTGTCTCCAGAACTACTTCAAGGGCAAATGAGCATCCAGAGCTTTCCTTTCTGCAGATCACAGTTATACTCAGCTGTTATTTTTGTATTTGTGGCCTTCATGTTAGAGCTAATGAGTCTGGCCACTCTCCCTATATTCACAAGATCTTTTCAGCCACAGAAAATGTCATTATTTAGTGCACCATTCTCCATAAACTCTAGACACTGGGAAGATCCCGGACCAATGTTTGTTTCTGAGATGCTGGAACTACCACATCTGACACCAGCAATCACAGCATGTTTAAACTGGAATCCAAGCGATTAAGGATGGACACGAAACTGCACCATCTACATCTAATGCCAATACCTTTAAAACTTTAGCAGCGGTCAAAAGGGCTGACTGTTCGAGACAAAAGAAGCCAATGACAAAGGCATTAGAGTGGAATCCATGACCCCTACTCTCCATGGCAACCCCCCCACCATGTTTCCTGCATCCACTGCTAGGAAGGTGTTTGTGGGTATTTGGGAATTTCCAGTCGGGGGGAGTCACTCCGGTCTACTCTTAAACTTTCTTCTCCTCTCTAAAATTTTGGTAACTTTGATGTAAAATACAGTTCACAAATAATGATTCTTTTCTGATTTCCAGTGCCATTTTTGAGAATGGCAGATGTCATACCTCATTCTTGTGTGAGCATTTTGCATTCTTAAATCTCAGGCCAACATGCAAAGAAAACAGAGGAAAACACATAACACTGTTTCATGAGAGGCAGCATGTAAACTGCAGCTTACTCTCAAAACACTTTTTAATATTATAATAGAAATTCTGTTATCAAACCTGTATCTGCAAAAACTGCAACAGACCTGGTATGATATGCAAACATCACGCAATACAGATGGGCAAGTGCCTTCACCAAAAACCCTAAAACTACCTTTTCACTACACAATACACCTGAAATGAAGGCAGGAGCTTCATCCTGCGCAAACTGCCAGCACTGCGAGAACTGTGTCAGCTGTTGGCCACAGGCCCATCCATTTTGTCTCCGATTGGAGAAGTCCACATCCAGGCAAAGAAAATACCCACGGCAACAAGAATCAGCATGGCTCCTTTTGATTTTCTTTTAAGAGTCATCACTTTTGCTAGGCAACAAAGATGTGGAGGCAACCAGAATCCAGAAACAAGTTGGCTGATTCCTTGAAAGAAATGGTCTTGGAGTGGGGACTGCCCTGCTACAAAGCTTGCATTGTCTGCTTTGTTTTGCAAATGCGTAAACATATGTGTATCTGGGCTCTCAAAATGTGCAAAAAAAAAAAAAAATGAAAATCAAAACAATGTGCAAAAACACATCTTCAAAGTCAACAGATACATCCCTAACACATGCATTCATGTAATTCTTAATAAATGCATGACATTAATTATTATTCCTCCCTGTAGCTGGTCTTTGCCAGCAGGAAAACAGTGGGCTCTCTATTCAGGGTTTTACCATCATGACATCACTCATCTATAGTAAGCAGATGAGACTCTCTTTGCTGTACTATTCCATGAATACAGGGCACAACAGCAAGATCCTCCTGGGGATCAATCTGGCTTGTGTTTACATGTGAATCAGCCAAACTTTGAGACTCCATCTTACTGCAATGCTGTACGCTTGAGCTCCAGACCAAGAAATGCAAACTGCCTTGTAAAGTGGAAGGTCTTTCAGTTATCTGATTTCTATATTAAATCAAGTAGCCGGTTGGAAATGACCACCTATGGTAAGAATCCAATTACCTCATCGGACCACTGTAGTTAACGAAATATGAAATTAGTGGATGAGAAACTGATGACCAGATCAATAAACAGGCCTACATGAAATTCTAACAAATTCCGGACATGGCTTTGCAATCTCTAATGTAGTCTGTTCAATAATACTAATGTGCGTTTGTGTGTGAATTTCTCCGTTTTTCCACTCAAACTTCTACTCTACATTTTGTCTACTTGCAGAGCAAAAATGGGCCAGTTTTGACATTATCAAATATGTTATTTTTATGACAGGCAACAACGGAGGCAAATACCATTAGAAGAAATAAGAATGCACAATTGTGTCTCAGCTCGACCTATCTACCGTAAAGCAAAGTAAATATATTATGTAGCCAGTAATCTAAGCTTTTCGACAGCAGTATCATAATCGAATACATAATCTTACGGTAAGAATAAAATTCAATTTATTTAAGTCAAATAAATTTAGATCTGCCGATTAATGTGTGTTGCCACTCATTTCGATTTACATGCAGCAGGATCATAAAAGTAAACACTTGAGTCCACATTTACCTTTAAAATTATTTCTAAACGTACTAATAAGAAATCTGCGTTTGTCATCCCAACTACTGTTGATGTTACGTGCGTGGATTGGATAAGATAGACACGCGATCACTGGAAAAATCAACAGCACGGGTCTCCGGATCGTGAAAATCCCAGCCTGGTGACTATAAGTAGTACGTAACCGCAGCTTTCTCCAGTAATCGGTAACTAGTCAAATCGGGCTAGCAAATACTGCGGCCTAACTATTGTGCGGGGTGTGGACTCCGCAAAGCGGACAGACACTTGTTTATTGTGCCTTGTTCCACTCGAAAATGGGTTTATTTATTAAACCGCGAAGATTTCACCAATTCACCCATTTAATTTCCACTTGCTCATTATAACGGGGCCTAAAGATTAAGACGCATCGTGACATCACGATTAGGTAGCGCAATTGTTGTTGGGAAAATGATAACAGCACAGATAACGATGTCTACTAGTCTTATGCCACTTATCTATATTATTAGTATGGCTAAATTTGTTCATTATTACACGTCTAGGATCTTTGGTGCATTTGGCTCATGAAATAAATAATAATAGCATAATAATGATAACCATAATTTATCAATAATAAAAATAAATTAACTTACCCCAACGATTACGGTGTCATCTCCCTGAAATTTAGGGATGAACTTGTCCCCACGGATAATTTCGGATTGATTTAGAGGACGAAAGCGACACAGCACTTTGATGTTGCATTCTGCGGTAGCATCGGCCATTGTGTTTTTTTCCTCTTCAGAATCAACCTAAAATAATATTAAAAAAATGTCTGCAACTGTATTTCAGATAAACCAAAGGTTACAGGCGACCGTTTACAAGGTTCTGTCTTAGAGGAGCGCTAATTTTCCACAAATATATAAAATATATACAGTATATCGATCTCTGCGTAAAAGCTAGTGCTGCTGCATAGAGCAATTTTGCAAGAATAGTTACACCAGCCAAGCGAAAATGAAGGTATTACTACTGAAATGAAAATACTATTTATCGTTTTACTAGGCGCACGCAAATGAAATCTTAAAAACAGCCAACAACATACCAATAGAAATTAGCGTTAATAATATCCTATTTTCCTTTGATACTCCTCTGGACTACTGTGTATATATATTTAATTAGCTTAGCGTTCCAGGCAGCTGAAATATATATATATTTCTTAAATAATTTGTTTTTTTTTAATGTCGAAGTACTCCGAGGGTAAGGTCCAGCTGAAGGTGAGAGGCGGCAGGGACGGACGGGCAGCCTTTGCGGCGCTGGCGGATGGCTGCTTTTTAGCAGGCGTGGGGCGTGGTCTATGCGCTTAAGAGGGGAGCCTCGCATCAGCACCACTGAAAATGACGATGTATGTCCGTGACTGGTGTGACCACCGATCCTAGATCATCGCGATCGTTCGACTATTAACGACGGAGAACTGGTTGTAGAGGAAGGGAAATCTGATCCCAAATCAGTTGTTAAAGACAGAAAGATAACCTGAGCTGAATGAGACAACAGGATGGAGGGGGTGGATAGGGCAATACGAGGCCGGGTGTGGAGGGGTGGAAACTGTGCTGCTTGCAAGCCGCGCAGTATTTTGATTACCTACGTAGTAATACAACATGTCTTCAGTGTTCGTTATACCGCTCTGTATTGCAAAATTAAACGCGCAGTTATTTACGTTGGAACAAACGCAGTTGTTGGTCGTCAGATTATCCGTAAAATTTTAAGCATCGCTGAAACAGTGGAATAGACTATGAATGGAGAATTTACAAAATAGGGTAATGGCAACATATGTTATTAACTAGGAATGATTTACTAGGAAACTGAGGACACGTGTGGGTATCATCAATTTGGTTTTCAGGATTAGATAGAGGGGTACGAACTATGCTTCCTATATATCTAGTTACGTTTGTCCCTTGGGAACTTTGTTCTCGGAATCCATCGCGCATGCTTGCTGGAAAGAGGAGAGTATTGACTTAGTGAGAAGGGAGAATAATAATAAATCATACATCCCCCACTCGTAAAGCTGTAAACTAATAAACAAGGCAATGTGTAATATATCAGCAGATGTGTCGCTAGGTTGTGTGAGACCATATAAAGAAAAGTCATTCAAACAGCCTAGATATATGTTAAACTTTGATCGCTATTACCAAATCAGTTATATTATGTGATTCAAAAGTATACTTTTCATAATCTCAATCATTTAACATAACTGTGGTGGTGAAAATGATTCTATGTGGAAGTGCGGTAACTAAAAATCTGCATCAATGACATCAGCATCCATAAAAGTACTGTGTATCGTAACACTTAAACGGTTTCATATTTTATCTATTGGCAATAAGACTGTATACTCGTTATGGCTATTCTGATCGTAATATCGATTTTACATAGATTTTTTCCATCTTTAATTGGAACTCGTTTGTAAATTATATAAATACTACCAATCCTACTACTAAAAAAAATATGGTCATTTTTTTGCCTACACGTCAAAGGTAGCGGTGCTCATTAACAGTGAAATTTTAAATTACGACTGTTGATATTGTTATAGCACGCCCTATTACTTTGCATCTTTCTGTAACGCCACATGTTCCTCAGTTCTCACGTATGGAGCTTAAATTCAGTCTTTAATGAAACCAGCCTTGTTCCTTAACACGGAGGATGTATCATCTTGAAGCAGCATGGGACATCATCTTTTGTCTAACATCAATGTCACTACTTAACAGCCATTTTGCTAGCCATTTTAGAATCAACCTTGCACCTGATGTGCAGGTACTGTTTCAGTGGTGTGCTTATTTAGCATTTCACTACCACTATATGCAAATTCAGTGCCGTTAATTCATTTGTAAGTAAAACATAGTCATAGCATTGTGTATGATGCAACTAAATCAACCAAACTGTTAATTAATGACGCTCTGTTGGTCTGTTAACAAATGATTTAGCAACAAGGAGAACATGAACAAACTAGAAGTCCTACAAGAACAGTAGAACTGGCATGACTGCATAAGTAAAAAACTGCTATTTCTTTTTCATTTTGCACCTCGAACAAAAACATTTAAATAAGAATTTACTGGTACGACTTAAGTGTGGGGGAAAGTATGTTTTATCCTTTTCGTTTAACGTCAGTTTATTGCAACTGGAATAAGCATACAGGCCTCATACAGTTTAACTCACCATGTCACGGTAATTCTCCAGAAAGAGTAAATTGAAAAACATTCAATGTTAGAATATTCTGGTAATATTAAACAAATACTTGTGTATTTGTTATATAAGTGGATTTTTTTTTACATGTTTTTTTTTTTTATCAGAAGCCTCGTTTTATTTGACCTTTCAGCTAAACGTTGTCGGTAATTGTAGTTTTTATATATATAAAACTACAATTACCGAAAACCTCTAAATCCTTTTACGTCATATTTACGAGGGACGAGAAGGATAACGCGAGATCGCGCTTTACTCGCCCTGCTGTTCCTTAGAGCTGTCAAAAACTGAGTACATAGCACTGGATTTGAGACGCTAAATTGCAACTTGCAAAAATCAGAAAATTACCGAGACAGATCTTTGCAGTCTGTTTTGTCATCTTAATCGCAGGCAAAACATAGTCGCTTTATCATCGCCAGTTGCGTTCCGTAATCTATCCGTTTTCAGCTTCCACAACAATGGCGGACCCCAAATACGCCAATTTGCCCGGCATTGTAAGTGAAATACGGCATTGCTTGCCACTTATGATGCTACTATAGATTTTAATTCCTTTCATCCTAGCTTCTTGTCACTCTTCTAGCGATAATAGCTTCTGAAATGTATAATAACATGAGCTTCACGTTACAAAGCTGTTAGCTGGTGGCGCTAGAGTAGATGAGGCTTGTTACTTATGTCATCATGCTAAATGGTCGTCTAGCTGAAAAAGCCGGGACACGACAATGCCTTATATTTATTTATTTATTAGTTTTATTTTAAACTAAACTATCACTTGTATTCCGAGGCCGTGCAGTTTGCAGCAGTGATCCCACCTTTCCGAAATTGTCGCTGGCTGGTAGTCAGGGGCGTTAGCGAATCGATTAGCCAACTGGGCTAACAGTCCCGGCCCATAAACACTAAAATGTTAACAAATTTTATCAAATATATTTAATCAAACAGCACACCACTGGGTTATTCTAGGTAAATTGTTATCCCCGGCAAACGGTAAATTAATCAGTTGGGTTTTTCTTATGATGGGGCGTCTGTGGACGTTTACTGGTTGAGATGATTACGGCGGCGCTAATCGCAGGGATAGGTACAATTTAACTCCGTCGATAGCTGGCGTTTATTAAGGTTTAATTTGTATTATTTTCAGATAACGCCCCTTATAGCTAATTAGCTGGCCTAAGTGGCTTTGTAGCTGCCGCCGCTTGTCAGACAGATTGACTGACGCCATCGAATCGTCACGTTGACCTTCTTTCCAAAGTGTCCTTCGACGTAACGGGCATCGTTTGGAAAATTAAAACGTAAATGGTGTTTCACCCAGGATTTCGTTGAAATCAGTTTAACACTAAATGCCAGAATGTTTAAAGCATCTTTTGGTTGGAAAGACGCCCAGTGAGTCAGGGCGTTGGCCGCTCCCTGAATGCATATAGGCTCTACAAAGTAATTATTGTGATACGCCACTGTCTTCCCTAATGTCGGAGTTCAATACACGTTTGCGCTTTGGTCCTCTGCTACTTCTTGGTATAATTAATATAAAATACTGCCAATGTAGATTTATAGTAATCTTGTATTTTAAAACGGGTGTGATTTTACAGTCTTTAAACGTAAACATGGATCTGAAAGTGTTATTTGCATCTTTAGGGATTCTTAGAGATTACCTTGCCCAAAGTCCATCATAAATTGGACTAGGGCTCAGTGCTGTTATGGTTCCTTTTAGTGTTATTTTTCACTTGCGTGATTGTCTCCTCTGAGCGCAAACTTTCTGCATGTGATCGGACTGTTTTGAAGTGTTTTACTTATTGAACTTGGTGTTTAAAATGAACCTAAATGCCCAAGAATAAACTGTTCTACCAAAATGGAAGTTTTAAATTTTATTTTTGTACTAACCGATAACCCCCCCCCCCTCCCCTCCCCCAGGCATCTAATGAGCCAGATGTTTATGAGACTAGTGACCTTCCAGAAGATGACCAAGCACAGTTTGAGTCGGTAAGTGAAAGATGACCGTGTTTGTTCATTCCAGGCATCCTAGGCTGAAAGTAAGTGTGCCCTCCCGTGTTGCAATTTCCACATCCTAAACCTTTGGTCCTGAAGATATGCCCAGTAATAGAAATCAGTGGATGGGTTTTGATATCAAACATGGCAAGCGTGTTATTTATTTGATCATCTTTACGGTAAAGTGTTTAGCCATAATGAGCCAAAGATAAAATATATGTAAAACATGTTTGTTTTTTTGTCCTTCAATATATATGGCAGTGATTTATAAAACTCCATCAGTAGTGATGTTTCTTTTCATTATACCATTTGTTTTTTTTGTTTTTTTTTGTCCTGTTACAATATTTGGAAAAAACCACTCTGAATGATTTTGCCATCTTTTTCCTTAATCATTTAAAACAAAAGAGAGGTTACAGACAATTTGTAGTGACAGTCCATAATCAATAATAAGAAGAGAATTCCAGCCATAAGCAAAGTAATTTATGCAACCATAAATTCACGTTATTGAGCGGATGCATTGTCCAAAGCGACGGACGAGCGAGGCAGGCTTACGTCACAGGACGTACTACTGAGAGCCACCACTGGCTACAGATGTGCACAGGCCCAGTGGTGTAATCAACAGGATTCAGACCTGTGCAGGGAGACTCCCTTGGAGTTCTGCTCCAAATGTGTAGTCATATAGTACATGATGATCCACTTGCTGTTTATGCCCATCTTTCAAATGGTGGTAAGTATTTAGGGGGACCTTCGTGGAAATTTTGGGTGTTGCTGACATTTTTGATGAATATTACTGATGATTATAGTCGGGTGACCTCTAAGCTCCATAAATCTATAGTGAAGCTAATGGGACAGATTTTAAACATGGCAAATATGATGACGTTACTTCTTTTGATCGTTTGTGTAACCATATCATATAATGCAGAATGCGAGACATCAGCAAAGTAGGGCCGACTTGGGAGACTATAGAGAGGTTTTAAGTGGTGAATGACCTGACAAAATCATTCGTCCTCTGTTACGGAAAATGAAGATGATTGCAGTAGATGATCACCCATTAATTTAGTCTTAAGCTCAGGTACAGGAACTTTAAATATTGACTAAGGTAGAGATACCAACCGGCCGATGTCTTGTAATTTTTAAACGACCATTGACTGATT